TTGTGGGACCTGAAGGATTTTTCTGAAGAACAGCAGGCAGTTTAACGGTTCAGGACAAACAAAGGATTCATGAACAACTATCACTACAAAAAACAAAACAAAAAAACGCAGCTGTGGATCATAAGAACACAGTATTAAGAATCTTGTGAATAGGGTCATTTTTATACATTCAACTATTATTTTCTCTCGTGGACTATATGTAAACATCTTTTATGTGAAATATCTTATTCAGGTCAGTATTAAATAAACAATAACGTGCATTTTGTATGATCCCTCTTATTTTGGTAAAATAATTAACATTTTGCAGATTCTGAAAGGGGAACTGTTGAGAAAATATAATAAAAAAAAAATGTAGAGGTCATCATTATCCTCATGTTTCCTCCACAGATCCTCCAGGAGAGGGGGTCCAGGATGTGAGGAACCTGGTGCCTGAGCCCACACAGATGTCCCATACCTCACTTCCTTTCTCCAGATCCTCCTCCACCATACAGCTGACACCAAGTTCATCAGCCCACCCTGCCCTCCTCCCTTGTGCCTTTCCACTGTGGGGGTTTCAGTCCCCCTCCTCCCTGCAGTGCTGCAACATTAACCGATCAGCACCACCACTAACTACCACCCCTATTATCGACTAATCAAAAATGTGTCCGAGGTTAAACCTCAGACCATCACATTTGATGCAAGACTGCTCAGAGAGAGGATTACAGGGAAGGATTCATCATTCATCCTAATGCTTATTTATGCAGACTTCATCATCATCATCCTCCGCATATCCCGGTCATTATCATCATAATCTTTACAGCTGCTGTTTTAAGGGGGTTCAGTTGCCCCTGTTGGTTCGGCTGCATCCACATGACCATAATCTCCTCAGGACTTCCAAATGGCGTGCAAGATAGACCGTCAATACAGCTTCTCATAACAACCACATTAACTTACACTGTAAATCATTAGCATCATTTCAGCATTCATATCCCATTGCCTGGTCAGACAGAGAGCACAGCAGATGGCGCAACTGATAAAACGAAGACAGCGGCTTTTGAACATGCAGTATTTTGTCTTCAATGCAGCATGTTTCTTCTGTTAACTACCCATTTACCCGTCTGGAAAGAACCCGAGGAGAAGGGAGAACTCGTACTGCCAATTGTCCGGTCAGATGCCCCAAATCGCGTGTCCGTTGCTGTGAAGATGTCCCACATTTCCAATTTGCTCCGGTTGACTTTTGTCATCCTTTTGTTTTTTTTTGCCTTATCGCTGTGGATATTTCAAAACAGGAAATAAAAAAACCATGTGGTTTTAGGGCATGTGAGGATTATGTATATTCAAAACGTATTATGAAGAGGCTGAATGGAAGTCATGTAATTGTTGATATCTGTACCATAGTGGTCGTTTTTTGTGTTTATCAAGATGAGTTTCTCTTAGATTGGGGAAGGTTCTGAATCGACCCCTAATGTACTTTTTTTAAAAGCCTGGTTGCCGAGATGTGAAATTGTTTGGTTGTGTTTTTCCTTTAAACACTTTGTCGATGACTGGAAAAAAAACAAAAAAAACAGGAGACTTCTTGTATAGAGGTATCAGGCTTACATAGTCCAGGAGGTTCAGGAGACTGTTGTTGGACAAAGTGCCCACAAGTTTTGAGTCAGGGCAAAACTGCATTAGTGGCTCTTTGTTGCATTTTTTGACACCAGATCTAACTCTCCCCGTAACATTTTGGCTATTTAACTGTTTAACTCGTTTTTGTTTGAAGTCTGATCACATCAGTGCCAGTGGAATGTTTTTGAATGTAAAGGGCTCCATTTATTATGAAACGTTCTTGCCATTTCTTTTTTATTTCAAAATCTAATATAATTTCAGGTAAATCATTTTATGTTTGCTTCATTTTAACATTGAAGCTCTGTCTTTGAAACTGGTTGCCCTTGTTGTTTAGCAGCAGATAAACTTGATCTCCTGTTTTGTCTCCTGTATTTTGTTTTTTAATATTTACATTGTGGTTTCTCTGAATCTACTGTGATTACATCACAAATTGTCAGTATTTGAATGGTATCCAGGCTGTATTTTGGTTATTCGGTGGTTCGTATCTATCGAAGTATTGTTGAATCTAGGGGTCTGTGTAAGATGGCATCATGTACGTGGACTAAACTCATGTCCTTTGGTTTATCATATCAATAAGGCACAGTATTTGAGTTTGTGAGCTACTTTGTGGTTGTTGGCTTTCCCTTTCTTCGGTTGTGTTAATGTTTTCCCCCTCCTGGAGAGAGTTTATTTGTTCAGCCCCAATGATTAGTCATTGAAGCCCCTGTAATGGGACCTCGGCTCTCACGGGATCCTATTGTACATTTCCATTGTTCAAATAGGTTCAAGGTCTAATTTCAAAGAAGAATCCTGGATTCAAATATAGGTGGCGCTGTTTAAGTCTCTCCCCGTCCCAGTTGTTTTGTCTAGTGTTGTGCCTTTGACCTGTCGTGCCCTACATGTCTTCGCTCCTAGATTACTCTTCTTTAAAAACAGAAATGGTGTTTATTTCATGTTTGTTTTGACTAAATCAGTTCTGTTCCTTGACTCAGATACTGACTGTGCCCGTTTCCCCTGAGGTTGTTATTGTTCTTGTTTCAGTGGTTCATCTGTATTTAGCTTTTCCACTCTTGCCCCTATGCACTTTTCATTTTGCACCTACCTGCTTTATAATGTTCTCACTGTGTGGATTTTGTTTTTAGGTTTTGTTCTATTTTTAGAGTCAAACCCCATGTGAGGCATAAGAAAATGTCATGAGCAGTCTCAAGTTTTATTTAGGAAACTTGGGAATATAGATGTCACATTGACTGCTATTGCTTTAAGCACTTGAGATTGTGAGACTTCTGTGTCTCTTTCCTTAGTAATCTACTATTCTTCTTTAGGTCTTGTGCCCCATGTTGTTTAAGATCAAACAAAAAGATATATAGATAAAGATATTTTCTTTGTGAAAAAAGATATATGCTATTCTGAAAAACAGGAGGTTGGTGTTTTGGAACGCCAACTTGGAAGCATGCAATGTGTCGGGTATATAATGTTATATGCTGGGATGTTGTCATATTGTGAAGGTGAATTGGTGCATGGACAGTTGACAGATGGCATTAATAATATTTAATAAGTGGAACTTTAAAGAAAAATATGGCCCTATTTTAACTGTTCTACACAGAAATCGATAAAACAAACACCGTACTACTGGAAAAACTTGCTTGCTGAGGCTAAATATGCTTATGCGACACCCCATGTATCTGATAAAATATAGCTTTCAGCCAATGTTTTTCAGCTGGCCAAAAGTGCAGACCTCTGTCATAACTTATTCAGATAAAAGTTAAAAACAAGGTCCATGTTTAACATAAGAGTTGTTTTTTGCTGCCATAATAGTTAGTCTACAACACCTGCATGCTTTAATATACATTACACACACATTTTAATGTGCTAAAAACCTGCTTTTTCATCAGATGTTTTGGGTGTATTGCATTGTCAACAGTATTGATGTAAAGTGTCAAATATGTCACTAGGTTGATGAGATTGTGGAGCTAAGTGTTCTGGAAATGTAGTCTTGATCAGACTGTCCTTTTCATTTTTTTTCTTTTCATTTTTAAAGTCTTCTGATGCAGTTTCTTGCAGTGTACAGATTGCAAACTGATAATGTATGATTTTTATCATAAAATGTGTTTGTGTTTCAGACTTGTGGCGTGCTTATTTTGTTTACAATGTTTTACGTTAGAACTTTGTTTATATGTATTCTGTTTAAAAATGTAAAACCTTTAAAAAACATTTTGACATTAAACAAAATTGAGATTGGGCTCACAACGGTAATTTCTCAAATGCTAAATATTTTAGAGCCTTATTCAATTCAATTTTTATTATTAACTATTGAAATATTTGGTTATTTGCCATGTTAGGAAACCATAATTTTACAATACCCTGATATCTCATGACTGTGGGAACCATGTAAATAATACCATTTGAACTGAAGGTAGGCCTATACTTCACCCATAAACATAAATTCGACCAAACCCATATGATTTACTTTAGTCCATGAAATACAAAAGAAGTTTGGCAAAATGTCAGACATTCTGTCCAGCGTATCCCACTGAAGAATTTTAGTTAAACAGGTTTGGTCAGACTTTTAATATTTTTTTGGGGTGAAAGTTTTCTTTAAACGTCTTGACTGTAAAGCTACTCTTAAATTAAAGTGGTCTAAATTGACGCTGTAAAGGTCACCGCGTGTTTTTCACGTGTAAATGGAAATATTGGTATTGGAACTATAATGGATATGTGTGTTTTGGGTAAGAATAAAGATATTTGTTTGGATTTAGAATCTGCGTCACGGGATCAGTAGTATGTACTTAACGTCAATGTAGTGCTGTTGGGAGTAAGTTTGGTTTTAATTATCCTAATACTTGCTGTAGTTATGGATTTAAAACGCACTTTAATAAAGTATATGGGTTATAGTGCTTAACTACGCCAGCATTCAGGAACCCGCCCTTCAGCGCGACACAAGGCGGATGAGACTGAGCTGCTCTGGGGTAATGGCAAGAGGAAATGCCATGCCATCGCCCCGGTGCTCAAATTTCTCTACGTGTAGACTGCTTGGAGCCGTTACCACTTCCATCTAGCTCTCAGTTTGGGTTATGTGGTGATAGTACGATATGTAAGAGAACATGCTGTTATATTAGCTTTTGCTTAATCGGTTGGATCCTGAAACTGCTCCCTCCCGGAGTGTCTCCTACCGCTGATATGACAGTCTCCGCAGCCTCCGCAGCTCAGAGACACGGCGCTGGCGTGGATGCCTGAAAATGTGCTGAAAAGGTGCGTTTGTTGTTTATTACATTATTATTGTTTTTCACAATTTTTGGATTGTGTTGTGTTTGAGACTGGCAATACGTTTGGTTTGAAGAACAGGATGAAATGTTGACACTGGCTGTGAGACCCCGGTGTTGTTGCTGCTTTCAGATACTTTCAATAAAAAGACTGTTTGTTTGAACAGCTTACTTGAGGGTTATAGCCGTCCAAACATGTCTGAAGTGTTTTTAAGTATTTTCGTAGCACTTGTTGGAAAAAGTCGCACGTGCGCGTCAGCATAGTTTCTTTGTTGTTCATAGTCGCCTCTTCCTGAACAGCCGAAATGTCATTATGTCATCATGTTCAGAACGCCCTAAAACAGCTGTAGAAACTGAACAAAAACAATAGTGGTGGAGAATTTGATTAATCTAAGTCTTTTCATTCGTTGGCTCAGTGGCAGGTTACATCGGTACGCCAGTAGGTGGCGACACACGAATGTATTTTTTTCTGTGTTGAACAAATCATTGAGTCATTGAATCATTCACTCAACTGATTCTCTAAAAACAGAAAATATTTAATGACTAAAACGAATTTATCGTCCTTATAATCCCGATCTTGGGTGTATACAAACCCACTGAGTGTGTAAACGTCATAAGCCTTTAGCAGAATTATAGACTTGACTTTAATCAAGCTGTAGGAAAGACAGCAATAAGTCTAAATAAATAAACAAACAGTTTCAACAAAAATAAGTTGCTTTTTTTGGTTATATGTACTTTTTTAATAATTTCCTTTCAGTAACTTCTACATAGCCTACTCGTTCACTCAAGGGGTGGTGCCATTAATATAATTAATCCAATTAAAATCTACTTCACAGCACTCAATGCTATTTGCTGGCTACAATAAGTTTCCTTGTTAGATAGCCTAAATATTAACTTGGTTTGTATTCAGGTAAGGCCAAACAAACCATGAAAAATGTCTAAGGTGGATGTGAGCAAATACCTCTCATGTCTACCTGAACTTGAAAGGTAAACAAAGAGGAGTTTGACAAGTTCATACAGCAACTTAGTGTTGTGGGTCCACCCAATATTTTGCATTGTATTTTCTGTATTTAATTTTTTATTTTTTTTATATTGTGTTTGTGTTTGTTTAATAAGATTAGCTCTTTTTCCATTTTCTTTGTATAGGGGTATAGCAAGCACACTTTATTTGGAGGATATAGAATATGCAAGAATGTGTTGCCCTGCTCTTCTGCCGCTGACGGCCCAAATCTCCGCGGATCAAGTGGAAAAACCCAGGCACCAGTGACTTGGTTACCATCAGACTGGAAAATATGGCACCTCAGCAACCTTCCAGCATGGAGGAGCAGTCAGGGGAGCTATGTGAGCCTGAATCTGAGGAGGGAGAAAAACAAGGACCAGGACCCCCTTCTGATCAAGCTCATCCAGTTACCTACGATGCTCCAGATGGGGGCTGGGGATGGGTGGTCCTGGTGGCTACCATCCTTGTCTTAGCTCTGACGCTGGCCTTCCCCTCCTGCATTGGCATCTTCTACTTAGATCTTCAGGAAGAATTTCAAGCCAGTAACAGTGAGACGTCTTGGGTGCCGTCGATAATGACGTCAGTTTTGCACGCCGGAGGTGAGGATGTTATAGAGAAATCTGTTGTTTCTACACCAGTAGCACAACAAAATGACATTGCAAAAATTACGATAGTTTTAAACAGGTTTCCTCAACATACCGCCTATCTTCTATTGGTTGTACAAACAAGAAATCCCACCTCCAAACTCATGGCATTACCTGAGCTCAGGGTTTCCCAAACAGGAGTTTGTGAGCTAATAATTCATTATATTGAATGTCATATTAAAACTGAAATAGTGATATATTGTATTAAATTGCAATTGTCAAATCAAAGGCTATGCTGCTTCTCTCTAACTCCATTTCTGCGCTGAGTTTAATGTCCATTTGGGAACACAATGTGTGCTACAGTAAGTTCACGTTATTTACATGAACATTTGCATAATTTCCTGGATGTCCCAGAAGTAGCAATATGAGATATTTTCATACAGTAGCAATATATGACAAAATAATACAAAAACATTCTGACAAATTCATGCAGCCCTATATTTATAAATTATTTTAAAATAAAAACAATAAAAAAAAAACACTAAAACGGAACTGTGAACAATAAAACATTATTAAAGTACTGAATTATTAACTTAAAATCTCAGGTACTATACTTCAAGTAAATATTTTACGTCTAAGGGTTTCAGTTAACGAAGAAAAAAAAAGATTTGGGAACCCCTGAGCCAATGTTGCTGAGTCAAGCTGGTCAAAAATACGGAGCAATATTTTGAAAGCGCCACAGAGTCACAGTGTTTACATTTTTGGGGGAATCAACCTATGAATGGCTTACTTATACTGTACTTGTGTATATTAAATCTGCATATTAAACTGGGTCAACCCTGACTGACATTTAACTTGCAAAAATACTTCCAATCCAGAGACTTGTTACTTTTGCAGCATTTTAAAAACACTTATTAAAACACTTATTTGTATTTAATATTTTTATCCTCCTTTATTAATAAAGCTTTTTTTTTTTTACATTCTGTAGCTCTATGCACAATTTTGTTTAATCAGATGTAAAACAGGTACAATTATTTCATTGAATGCAATTCATCCCCACTGTGAGAAGGAAGTTGTAGTCATTATTTGATCTGATTTAGGTTGATAACAGCCATATTAATTTCAGCAGAGATGGCAATTAAACGTCAGTGTTTGATTTACATGTTTACTGTGAATTTGGCTTTTACTGGTAGTCATAGTAGCAGTCATAGTAATAATAAAAAAAGAGGAACAGCTTGATCCATCTTTTATTACACATACTTCATTGTACCTCTTCAACTGTCATACATCAATTACTTGTGAGAGTTGTGTGTTGACGTTTCGCTTAACATATTTGAACAAGGCAGTTCATTGTTCTAGGGTGGTGTCTTGAGTAGCTGGCTGTGGAAAATGAGCTGTAGGAATATGGCATGACATGCTGAGATTTTAGGAGTAAACCGTCTCAAATTAAAGCTTTTTTTACCGTTAAATGTTTTTCTTGCAGGTCCTCTGTGTAGTGTGCTGGTGGAACGCTTTGGTTGCCGGGCGACAGTGATGTTTGGGGGAGTGCTGAGTGGTTTTGGGATGGCAGTCAGCTCTTTCTCACATTCCATCGTTGACTTATACATCACCACTGGGGTCATCACAGGTCAGTAATGCTGAGTACACACCACTATCGGGCTGATTTTGCGCTGATTTCTCCCCTTCCGACAATCCTAGGTAATGTCCCGATTATCTTGGTGGTTCTAAAGATTATTTTATCATATTTTCTTGTGGTGTGAGGTGTGTTAAGAGTGACTGAATCTGCTCGGAAGAATGTCGGAGGCGGCCCGATCGCGAATCAGAAATCCTGATGTGTGGGGGGAACCCCGAGGACAAACGCGTGTACGATCTGGAGATTATCACGTGAAACGAAACAATATCCAATTAGAAAGCGAGCTGACAGAAGACGGAAGCATAACAAATGCAGTCATGGCGCAGCACAAAAGGATTTGGACAGCAGAGATGGAGGATCAGCTTGTCGATTTGTGGCAACAGCATGAGGGGTTATACAACGTGTCCATTTTCTGTCAAAATCATTCCAAACACTATCATCACAATTTCTTCCGTCCGCCATGTTTATTCTCAAGTCTCGAGAGATTTTGCGAGATTTCACATGTTCACAGTCGGGACTCTGGTTGAAAATCTGTTGGTGTGTGGTGTGCTGTCTTTGTCACATCGCAGCACATAGGAACAAAATGGTTAAATCTAGGATTTTTTGTCCTCATGTTTGTGGTCTCTCCCATTTTAAAAACCTTTTAGTGTGTACCCAACTTAAGTCGCCAGAGGAAGTGATTATGATATCTTGTTTAATCTGTAAGCAGAGATAACAGAGAAACAGTGATTACATAAACATCCTTGTGATTATGTAAAGAGTTATCACTAAGCACTTTACCAGCTGACCTGATATGAATAAGAATATGAAAAAAGCCAAAAGTGGCTGATTTCTTGAGCAATATCACACAAGAATCCTAATTAATCAGACCACCCACAAAAAAGTTTCAGATGTTAAACATTTATGTACTGTAGCAACAAGCAGAGTTATGTGACCAGTAAAAATAAGTAAATGTGAAAAATAAAAGTAATTATTTATTATTAATTTATCATTCATTAATAGATATTATTATTATTAATAATAATAATAAAATAGTTTAAATTATTTAATCAATAAATAAATGTATTATATAGCTCAGATAGGCAGCATGGAAGTAAATAATACATGAGCATTTATGATATTATTAATTGATTATTAAATATAAATATAATATCATAATTATTATTGCGTTATATATTTTAATATAAAAAAATGTTTTTATTATCTTTATTATGATATATTATTATATTTATAATTAATAATATCAATAAAATATTAATTTTATTACTTACCAAATTGATGTATTTACTAATTAATTGATGATAAATTATTATATGATATACTACTAATAATAAATCCATTATTAATTATTTTATTAATTATTTCAACCATATAACAACAATTATTATATTTACAGTGACAGATTTAATGTATTTATTATTAATTCTTAAATGATATACAACTAATAATAATAATAAATGCATTTGTTTTTAATAGATTGGTTATTAATTTTTAAACCATATATTGTAATAACAACAACAACAATTATTGTTTTATTTACAGTTACAGATTTAATTTATTTATTATTAATACTTAAATGATGTAGCGTCTGGACCAATCAAACACACAATATATATTTTGTTAGCTATATTTAACACAAGTAAATATCTACAGCGGATCTAAATATTTATAATTAATTATAACTAGTTATGATTAATTATTCATATTTCCCCATGAGCTGATTCGCTACAATGATATATAACTAATAATAATAAATGCATTATTAATTATTAATTATTAAACCCCATATTAATGACAATAAATATTATTTTTATTATTATAAATACAGTTACAACTTAGATGTATATACAGTTACAGTTTTGATAGTTTGTAATTAAATAATAGGTGTTTACTAGGGGTGCTCCGATTGATCGGCTACTGAAAAAAGGCCGATCTCAAAAAACCGATCTCAAGCTGATGACGCATCTGCCGTGAGAGGTTTGGCAGGACATGCAGCGGCACCGTCTCAGTCTCTGTCCGGCGCAGGTGAAATAATTATAATAATGCTGAAGGTGAGGTACTTGATTTACATGTTTACTGTGAATATGAACTCACCTTCATATTTCTTCATTAAATAACTTCTAAAGTTATTTGAAAACCTTGTGTGAGACGTAGGGCTGGGTATCGATTCAGATGTTCCAATTCGATTCGATTTCGATTTTCAAGCTCTCAATTCGATTCGATTTCGGTTTTCGATTCGATATTTGATTTCAATTCTCGATTCGATTTGACTATATGAATGAATATAGATATAATACAAATCCTATATTTATAAAAAATTAACAGTGAACATAAGATTACAAATGGTTAATTAATAGGAAATTAAGAGCCACAAACCTGTATATTAAACACTTTTTATTTTAGGTACACTTGGGTACAATAAAACAAAACCCAACTCTATATTTCAAATGCATACAATGAATAGACAGAATTTTGATGCAAGATGAAAAACTGATGCTGAAAATTGGACAAGTCAGAACAGTCGCATGCCTTGATCAAACAGGATCAGACGGACTCTCCGTTGTAACATCGCGCAAGGCAAATAAGGGGGTGACGTCTAGTGGATTAGACTAGTAATAAGATTAACGTAAATCTTGTGTTCAATGTTTGTGGAAATAAATATTGAAAAAAATCGATTCGTGGCCTTCGAGAATCGATATTGAATCGACCACA